TTGTTTGGGTGCTCATGGGTGAGCCGGGGAGGCGGGTGATGCCCTGGGGACCCCTGGGGTGCTGGGGTGAGCAGCCAGAGAGAGAGAGGAGGTGGAGGCGGTCACCTTGGGACAGCACAGGGGACGGGGGGGACGGGGACAGCTGGCAGGAGTCTGCCAGGGAGCGGGGAGCAAGTCTTAGCAGTGGCTGGGACCCCAAACCCAGCTGAGGCTGGGAGGGGAGTGTCGCGGGGGCTCACAAAATAGACGAGGCAGGTGAATGTTGCAGGAATTTATAAGCTCCAAAATAAATTTATTCTAATCAAAATGGTTTAATGATCCGACAAACATTAGTAAACTTACACAGTCAGATGACAGGCAGGAAATTAGTAGCACCCAGTGGACTTAAGAATTCCTGAGCTTTAGAACAATGACACAAAATGTGCAATAACGTTCCTAAAAAGTTAAGGGCTCAGCCTCGAGGTGACAACATACATGGTTAAGGCACAACAAGCCCCAGTCTTTATCAGGGCAGGTGCCACAGGGAGGTGTTGGGTTCCCTGTGTTGGGGTCCCTGTCCCAGGGGCTCGGGTCAGCGCTGGGGGTGCTTCCAGTGGCAGATTTAAAGGAAAAGAGTACCCCAGACTTGGGGCATGGGTGGGTCGGGCAGAAGATCAGGTGTGCTGGGGGCCAGCCTGTGGCCATGGGGCAGCCCAGGGGCAGCCCAGGGGTTGCAGCCACAGAGGTGCCATGGCTCAGCTGGTTAAAGCGCCTGTCTAGTAAACAGGAGATCCTGGGTTCGATTCCCAGTGGTACCTGGGCTTGGGAGCTGTTTTTCCTCCCTGCCCCAAGCTGGGGGTCTCTGCCCTGCCTCGAGCAGTGGAGCCCCCCCAACCCTCAGTCCCAGGAGACCCCACTCTGGGGGGAAGGCATTGCCTTCTGCTCCCCTCTCCCTGGGAGACTCACAGTGGGGAGAGGACCCAAACTATCTCCAGACCGCAGGGGATTTAGGAAATGAAGAGGTACCTCCAGTGCTGGCTGGATGCCCCCCCCAATCTTCCCAGTTAATTTGCACAACCTGCAGTAAACCCCTCTGGATATAGGTTGGGGGTGATGGCAACCCACAACAAGTAACAAAGCCTGGGGCGTATGCTCTTATGGCAAAAAAAAGAATGCTACCCTGCCCTTTGCCATCTGCTGAACAGAGGGATGGAAGGGAGCGTGGAAAGGGGCAAATGAATGGCAAACACCAGCTTGCTGCCCTGCAACAGGCAGGCGGGGCAGCTGGCTGCCTCAGACAGGCTGCCTGCCCTCTGCCTGCCCAGCCTAGCTCCCCAGAGGATGCCCTGAAGAACCATCCCCACATTTGCAGCCTTTAGTGAAAAAGAGGGGGGGGGGGGAAAAGGCCCCCAAAAAAAAAAGAGAAAAAAAATCCCCCCCCAAAAAGACGCTGGAATAGGGGACGAGGTGGCCGAGTGGTGAAGGCGATGGACTGCTAATCCATTGTGCTCTGCACGCGTGGGTTCGAATCCCACCCTCGTCGCCTGCCTGGGGACCCCCACCGAGGAGGGGATTTTTGGTGCAGCCCCTGGCATGACAGGGTTCCTGCTGCCTCTCTCTGTTTTGCTGTGCCTTGTTAGGTACACATCCGCCTCTGCTCTTGTGCTCCCACTGGCCAAACCTGCTCCTGCTTGCCCGGGGACCTGCGTTACCCTTCCATGCAAACGTGCTGAGCCCCACGCTCCGGTGCAAGGAGTGGAGTGCTCTCCCCCTCTGTTCCCCCAGCCTTCCCACCACCCTCCAGCCAACTACCTCTTCTCCAGGAGTCAAAGCACCCAAACACGGGCAGGGAAGGCCAGCAACAGGATGGCCTGTGATGGCCAGGCACACTCTGAGCCTGGGCACTGCTTTTTTCTTTTCCCTTCTGCTCTCTGTCAGCCAGTTTATTCCTTTCTGCATCTCGTACGTAAGCCCTGGTTATCTCTTGTCATGCTGATGGGAGCCCAAAGCCATCCCTGGCCAAAGCTGTGCCTTGCTGAGCCATCGCCACGTCCTAGAGGTTCCTTGCAGGTGCCTTCCCTGCTCACACCCCTTCTTTCTGCAGACGAGGATGTGGCCAAGCACTGTCATGGCTTGGAGGCAATTTGGAGGCAAGGTGAGGATGCTCAGGCTTAGCTGACCACGCTCCAAGCCCTGCACCAGCTTTTCAGCCTTCCCTGGGGCCATGTTTCCTTCCCATGCCTTGGGGAGATGCCCCTGGGGACCAGCTGGGAGCTGCTTCCCTCCTTCACCATCTCCCAAGCCAGAAACCATGACTGGGCTTCAGAGAAACGCTGTCCCCATCCCACCCCGCTGCTGTGGTATGCTGCGGTGCTGGGTGAGGGGAATGTCCTTGCCTGGACAGCCAGGCACCTTGCAAGAGGGAGGCAGGAGATTTCCTGGGGAAAAGGCTTCAGTGCAAGGGGCTTACAGCCCTGGAGAAACACCAGCTTGCAGCTGGTGAAATGGGAAGGGGCGGTGGGTGCAGGCTCCTCCTCGGGTGGTGGTGCATGGCACGGGGGCTGCTGCCGCAGGATGGGACCTGGGGGGTTGCAGGGCAGAGGTAGCTGGGAAGGAGACAAGGTGACGCCCTTGGGACATCCCTCAACCCTGCCAGGTTGTGTCTGCACAGGCACATGCCTGTCCCTGCCCTGGCATGCAGTGACGAGGCCTCCTGGGGGGTGTTGTAGCTTTACAAAACAGGCTGCTGACTCCCCCTCCCCCTTCTGCCTCCTGGGGATGGGGGAAGAGAATTAGAGGGGTGAAGGGAAAAGAGACTCGTGGGTTAAGAACAATTGAATAACTAAACTATAATAATATTGGAAATAATAATAATGATGATGACAATAACAAGCAAATATACAAATGAGTGACACACAGTGACACTGCTCACCACCCGATGACCAAGGCTCAGCCCATTCCCAGCTAATGATCCCAGAGCAGGGAGAGTCCCAAAGCCACAATCCCTGAACAGAGATGTGGGGAATGATCGAGTCCAAACAGATTAATAAAAAAAGCCAATTGGAATTTATTTGGAAATCGATCATAAGGAACAGAGAACAAGCAAACAGGCCTGGGTGCGCCGGGGTCTCCACCCTCAAGATGCACACCAAATGTCCCGCACACCCACATCTATAGCCTAGGTGTTACATAACTACCCTTCACCAGTCAGTGAATGGATCGAAAAATCACCAATCAATACATTCCAACACATGGCACCACTCCACCTCTGGTCTGGAATTAGTCCAAACTGACCAATTAGCCGTGTTAAATAAAGTCCAATCACAGTCCAGATTTAAAGTCCAATCAGAGTTCGATGTTCTGTTACTTGAGTACGATGTTCTAGTACTTGCTGGTGACCTTGTTTTCTTCAAGGACATGCTTCTTACTCGTGGTGTTCTGCTTAGTCGTGCTGACTTGCTTTCCTGAATCTTCTGTGGCTCTGTTCCTCTGCTATTGCTCTTTAGTCTAGGGGTTTCAGTCTTTTCATATGTCAGGTAAGTAACTAGTGTACAACAATAACTTATCAACCATACAGAAACACATGAACAATCAATACTGATTAATACAATTATACAAGGACTCAATTGGCCTCATGAATTAACGGCTGTTAATTGGTGATAATGGTAACATTGTTTCATATTGACACGAATCATCCATAAATTTATAACAGTCCCCCATTTCTTTTTCAGGACGATTTTGAAATCGTACTGGGGAATTTCGTGTCACACTTCGTCTAATCGGAACCAATTTTGAATCTCTTCCCGTATTTAAGACCATTACTGCATGAGTTTCTTTTTCTTCCCCTGCTTCTGAATCAAATGGTGTGATTGCTGATATCTTCATTCCTTGTATAATTCTATGAACCAGTCCTACAATACATGGTATTAGACAAGCGATAATAATCAGACCACCACATATTCCTGGTACAATCATTCCAACCTTCATCAACCAGTTTCCATTCACAAAGTTTTCCCACCAATCATTTACATTAAAACCATTCCAAGTTTGTACCAGAACATGTGCAATCTTTTTCATCTCTTTTGCCAGCTCATTTACAGCATTTCCCTTATCATCTATTTCTAAACAACAATTACTCAAATTGAACTTTCCGCAGACTCCACCTTCTTGGCCAACAAATAATCTAAGGCTAAACAATTTTGGTATAGAGCGCGGTTCTCATTTTGGTGTTTTGTTTGGTTATGAGTCCAAGTGCATCTCCAGTTCTATTTACTACTATTTCTACCACAGCTTGTAATCTAGTAATTCTGTTTATCATGTAGATCGGGGTTCTATAGCCCCATGATCCATCCTCTGCCCATGTGGCTGGATCATAGTAAGCAATGATTCTTTCAGGGGGCCATTCATTATCTTTGCAGTTACTAATTTGTAAATTTCATTTCTTACGTCTTTTTATTAATTCCTATGCTTCAGCGTACACTTGGATTCCCAAACGTTTTCCTCTATTAATAGGTAACAGAAAAAAAACTTGGTCTTATATTTCCTAATATGCAAGACCCTGTCCAATTTGGTGCCAACAGCTTCTTCCAATTATACTTGTTTGCCATACCCATTGTTGTTTCCTATTACCTTTTTCTGCTCTTTTCCAAATGTCCGGATCACTTATATTGCTCTCCATAGCCTCCTAGGGCCATCGTTCGCCTTGATTTGTTCCCCCACAAACATAACAGTTAGTAACATTTAACGACTTAGCTATGTTGTCAGCCAAATTAACAAACAAATTCTTAGCAATTGTTGGAACCTCATATTGCACCCCTGTTTCCATTTCATGATAAAATGAGTTGAATAATAATCAATGTTGTGTTGGCTCCCTAGTATTCTTAAAACAATTCAAGGATCTTCCCCTGTTCCATGTATCTTAAGTCCCATATATGCTACTTGCTCTTGTTTCCATTTGTCTGGGTTCTTAATAGTTATTCTGATAGGGTTACAGCTGCGAGAGGTGCAGCTTTGATTAACTGACCCTGCGGTTATAGATGCTTGCAATATGCCACAATGTTTCTCATATCCCCAATTCTCAGCTGCCCAGCAGATACATCCCCGACCCCTTCTGCCACATAAGTGAGCAGGTACTTGCTCTCTCTGTACTTGAAATGGTAACATTGTCTCATATTGACACCAATCGTCCATAAATTTATAACAGAGATAACAGCCCTAGTGTCCAAGAGACTGATGTGACCCTGAGAGGGGGGTGACCCAGAGGGAGACAATCTGGAGCAAGAGAGAGCCCCTCTGGACAGAGCCTCCCCTCTCTCCTGGCCATGCCGTGCATGATATGGAACAGACCATCGGCCAGTTGGGGTCTCAGTCCTAACCCTGAGGTGGAATCCTGGGCTGGTCACTGGGGCTGTGCTC